CCCCCCCCCCTCTCTCTCTCTCTCTCAAACTCTCCATTCATTCTGGGCCTAGAAATATTTTTTTCCAAAACATTAAATTCGCCTTTAATTTGTGAAATCTTAAACAAATGAAGCTTCGTTTCCGCTGCCAGGTTTGTTTGAAGTGGAAAAGCTGGAAGGCTCAGCTTTGCTTCAAAAGGATAATTGATTAATTCAAGTGTTAATTTTTTTAGATCTATTTTCTTTTTGGGTTTGAGTTGGTTACTATGATTCTGTTGTTTGTGGGATACTGTAATTTTAATTAGCTGGGAATGCCGGAAAGTGTAAATAAGAAAAGAAGCTTTATAATCAGATCCAAAATGTAGAGCGTGCAGTTTGAAAATTTCGTGACCTCCATAGCCGGACCTTCAAAGAGTTCGAAAACTGAGATTACAAAAAAAGAGCGTCGGGTATGAAATTATGAAAGAGTTGAGCTGCGTTTCTTCTTGAAATTATTATTTAGAACATTGTTGGAAAGCTGGTACGTGAAGCAAGAGCTAAAACTCCATTAGAACTCCATTGAAGAAAGCTTTGAAGCTTAGCTCAAAAATGGGTTTTAAAAATGTGAGCTATTTCTAGGGGGTGTTACTGGATTTTGTTGGGGATCTCTTAGGGAGCTTATATCTCAAATTATGACAAATTTTGTGAAGATTTAAAGAAGTTGGGTTGGAAATTTTGAGCAAGAATCAACAAAGATGGAAGAACAAAGCTAGTTTTCCAGATTTATGCACAAGCCAGATTTGGTACCCACTTTGCGCTCACTAACGGCTAACCAGCTTTGTAGTCGTGCAACGGGTCGGATAATGGATAGTGAGTTTTGAACCGGATAGATTAAATTGGGGTGGGTCTTTTAATAAGGAGATGCCACGTGGCACTCCGTAAAAAATAGGGGCAAATCTAACCCATAGTATAACGGTAGGGTCCCAAATGACCCAATAGTGAGACGGAGGGTAAGTTTAAACAATTTTCGATAGTAGAGGGATATATTTGACCCTTTTCCGTATCATAAACATTAAACCTACAGTGGCTCCCTTTCTTTCTAAATGTACAGATGAAAAATAAAACTTGTGGACTGCCATAAGGGCATTACCATCTGACTTCGGTACATGAACTACAGAACAACTGATATTTATCATATATTCCATAAGCTACAGAAGAGGAATATATTTCAGGAATTAAAATTCTAGTTGCCGAGTGTGCAATTTCTCATTGAAAGTCTGGCTTATATCTTTTTACATTTTTCCCTCGTCTTTGTTCATTTCAGTAGCTTCAGCATTCCCAGTGTGTATCTTTCTAACCCCCCCCCCCCCCCCCCCCCCTCCACCCCCAATTCAACGATCTTTCGCCTCAACAAGCATGGCTCATACTTGCCAAAAGACGTAGATAGGCACAGTAAACAATAGCAGAAAGTAAATATCACATCATTAGACAAGCTTAAACCAAAAAACAGGTTGAAATTCTCACCAGGAAGATCATGTTCCAAAATGCTCCATTCTTGGTGGACCTTCTTCAGCCAACCTCTTTTCACCTGTGAAGTAATAGAAAGATTAAAGAAGGGAGAAGAGCGTAGTAGAAATAACAACTAGCTGTCATGTTCACTTGGGAAAAACTAAAAATAATTTTGACCTGGGATAACTGCGCCTTTCCAGCACCATCTGCGAAATGGTGGTCTGAGAAACCAGTGACCATATCAAACTGTCTAAATTCTTCAGGGAGCTTGCTGGAAGATGACAAAACATCATCTTTTTGATCCTCGGTTGTTTTCTGTTCTTGCTCTAGTTCCCTTTCAGACGAAGCCTTCACATCTCCTACCCCAAGTGTGGGAATTCCTGCATTCAAATTGCTAAGTTCTATGATTTCCTCCTCATTGGGTAACCTTGATTGCTTCCCTTCTTCTGATATAGCTTGGTAAGTACCAAACAATGATGAGCTCAAGGGACCAAAAAGACTCGAGGTGATACTAGAGAAAAAGCCAATAGCAGCTTGAGAAAGCAAACAGGAACTAGAATCCCACAAACTCTTGTTGCAACTTTCTCTATCGCCACCAAACTTCAGTAAGTCCTGAATTTCAAAATCTAACTCTTGTCAAACTTTCACACGAGAAGTTGAAGATTTTGAAATAAGGATATCTAATTAAATCCCTGCTATATTGAGATCTTATAATGTTGATGGCAAATAATCTTCTAACCACTTTTTATGGTTATTAGCTTATCTCCTATTGAACCATTTCCGGTTTTCCTTCCAGTTAACTATTCAAGTCATTGCTAAAATTTCCATTCTCAGACTTCTTGCAATAACAACTAAGGAACAACACATGGAGAGGGAATTAGACTTCACCTTTTCCTCAGGTTTTGAAAGTTGATTTTCGTTTGAACTCGTCTCCGCGCCTGATTGCTCAGCACTTTCACCAGAGGGTACAGTAATGGCAGCAGCAGTTTCACATTTATCTATTCGGTAGATCTCAAAGGGTGCAACCTATGAGTATCAATGAATGAAGACAAGATTTGAGCCAGTTCAAGGCATAAATCCAAGATTAGGAAGAAGTTTCTCGAATAATTTCAGCTCTAAGTACAATATTTGTTACTTTCAACAGTTATCACGTGAACCAGTATTCCTTAAAAAAATAAACCGTTTTGGTTGCAAACTTCAACTGTTTGTCACTTATCAACTTTCAGCCAAAAAAGATCAACTTTAATAAAACAATGTAAAAAGAACAGTAATGATATGATTGTAGGAAATCAGCAAAACTGGAAATGAAGAGAGAAGAAAAACAGTGTCTAACCCCTCGAAAAATAAAAGAATAGAAAAAAGAGTACCCTTACCATGCTTGTAAAACCAGTAGCCCATTTCACTTCAATGTTGCCATCTTTGAAGCTGACAATAATACCAATGCAAGATGAGTGATCATATCCGAGGAAATCTGAATTATCCTTTCTAGTATCAATATTCTTAAGCTTAGAGTTAATGTCCATGCCAATCTCAGAGAACATGCTCTTCCCATCAAGACTGAAAACCTGATCCTCACAAAACTTGCAAACCGCATCACCCAAACAGTATGAGTAGTCTGGATGGTCCATCAGTTCATACGCACTCACAATTTCTTCAGTTTGCTCTACCCTAAACTTATTTGGTTCATTCAAGGAAAAGGTTGTCCATTTTACCTTCACAGTCCGCTCCTTTGCGTCAACACATCTCACCACACCCCACCTTTTTGGACTGGGAACAGATGAGTCATCACACATTCCCTTCTCAAGCACGAACTGCTCTGGCCAAAACTCATGAGCGTCCACAATATTGACAGGAAAAACAGAATCCGAGTCCAATCCAATGGTCACGCTCCCATCCTGCCACAAAACATCAACTTTTGTCCTTGTCTTTGAAATTACAGCAACTTGCGGAACAGCTGAGCTCCTATTACTTTTCTGAGATGCCTTGTTTAGTCTATCCTCTTTCATTGCTCCACAGGGAGGTGAGCTTTGAACACTCTGCCGCAACATGTTCTTAGAGTCAGCAACTGGAAGTACACAGCAATCTCCAAGCTGCCACTTTGCATGGGAGAAGCAAGACAACAAGGTTAACTTTTCTGAGTCCTGCAAATTTGGGGGACTAGGCACCTTTTCACAACCAAGACTGCCACAGCGGATCCAGTCTACATGCACGATTCCAGCCTCCAATGAATAAATGGTACCTTGCTCTCTTTTGCCACTTCTTACACCACATAGCCAGTTGGCTGATCCAGAGGCAGATACAGACTGAACTTGAACCCTTTGTCCCGGGTAGAAAGGGTATTGCGGGTCTTCAACTAAATCGGAGGAAATTGGTGTGAGCATTTCTGAACCCTCTGCGGCAAATTCAGACTTCGCACCATCGTCAAAGAGAACTGTAACTTTATCGACTATCTTTTCCACTTTCCCAAGCCATGGACCCATCACTACATAATCCCCAACTGAAATTGGACGTATTTTCACAAGATCTTTTGAGTTAACATCTCGTATTTTTCTTCCATGAATATTTTCCAAGTCAACAATCATCTCAACATTGATCACTTTTCCCATCTGTCCGGATGGATCATTTACTGGACATACTATGTCCCCATACATAAACACTCTCTCAAAGGAGAGGAAGTCATCGATTTTACCGATGCTTTCCTCAAGACTTGAAAGAATTGAACAGGCATGTCCACCATACAGATATTCAACATAATCCTGATCGTCATAACTGCTGCTCTCGCTGAAACTATCACAGTCACTTAGAGAAGATGTATCCATAATGTGGAAACCAGTGAAATGTATTCTGCAATCTGAGAAACATTAATATATAAGCCAAGAAATGAAGGTTAAAAAGGCATAGTATTGGAATGGGAGTTGTCAATGAAGCTACAGCTAGCCTATATCTGATTCATGATTGTTTTCTCTTGGATTCTTGATCCTTAGATAGCTCAATTAATTTCTAGAGATAAACAACCGAGTGAAACTTTGACTTGAAAATTAACACATGCTTAAACCTAAATTATGTTTATTAGGGGTGGGGTGGATGAAATGGAGGTTAGCGACGGGAGTCCTGTGTGACAAGAAAGTGCCACTGTTACTGAAAGGTAAATTTTATAGGGCAGTGGTTAGGCCTGCTATGTTGTATGGGACCGAGTGTTGGCCGGTGAAGATCTCACACATCCAGAGGATGAAAGTTGCAGAGATGAGGATGTTGAGGTGGATGTGCGGGCATACAAGGAAGGATAAGATTAGAAATGAAGATATTCGAGAGAAGGTGGGTGTGGCCCCCATGGAGGACAAGATGCGGGAAGCAAGACTCAGATGGTTCGGGCACATTCAGAGGAGGAACACTGATGCACCGGTGAGAAGGTGTGAACGACTGGCAGTGGTGGGTACGAGGAGAGGTAGGGGGAGACCTAAGAAGTATTGGGGAGAGGTGATCAGGCAGGATATGACGCGACTTAGGGTTACTGAGGACACGGCCCTAAACAGGGAATTGTGGAGATCGAGCATTAAGGTGGTAGGTTAGGGAAATTGTGATGTCTTTGTTACAGCGCACTAGAGTGAGACTAGCCAGTTAGGAAGTAGTCTTAGGATGCTATTGATCAACTACTGATGATGGGCTTTATCTCCTGTGTATTAATACCTTACATCTTTCTCGTATTTCCTATATCTCTTATATTGTTGTTACTTTGTTTTTATGGTATTTATGTTATGTTATGGATTTTATGGTACTTTATGTTGTTTTATTATGAGTCTATTGATAGTACTAATATAGTGTCTCTTGTTGCCTCTTTGAGCCGAGGGTCTCCTGGAAACAGCCTCTCTGCCCCTCGGGGTAGAGGTAAGGTCTGCGTACATATTACCCTCCCCAGACCCCACTTGTGGGATTACACTGGGTTGTTGTTGTTGTTGTTGTTGTTGTTAAACCTAAATTATGATGCATTATGTTTATTCAGTAGCTCATATACTGTAATGCACAATACTTGTTTATTCAGTCAGTGGCGGATCTAGGATTTCAAAGTAATGGGTGCTCCACCATATTAGTGGATATACGTGTGTGTAGCATATAGTTATTGAGTTCAATTGAACCCAGACTTTTCGACACATATGTGAGCGCGCATGTGCGTGCTATGTTGCATTTAAGATATTACCAAAATATACAACTATGTGAACCAAGTATAAATGTGCAACTATTTGTACCAGATGGTAACAATATCTAACATATAAACTATGATAAATATTATCTTTATTTAAAAATACCATTTATTCACAATTATTCTCGTTGTTTACTAATAACATCATTTCTTACCCTAGAGTTATCTCCAAAATATTAGTCTAACATTAGCCTTGGATTGAACATAAATTTTATGTACCTACACAAAATAATAAACAAAATTTTTATAGAAAAATATGTCATTATATTCAATTGACTTCTCAGTCTTAGAAGGCATATGAGAAAACAAAGAGATAATTACTTCTGGAAATTAAACAAACTATTTAGACCCAAGAGAGAAGAAATCCGCCAAAATTTCATCACAAGAGAAAGAGATCTTAACAAAAATAAAAAGCTCCATTCTGTAGTGGGAAAGAAGAAATATCTTCTGTTTTGGGGTGGTTTGATGGGGAATTAAAAAAAAAAAAGACAAAAGGACAAAAATCGAAAATTAGAAGGTTGAAGGTTCTCTGTTAGGAAAGAGGGTCTGATATTGGTAACTAAAATAAAAATGGAAAAAAGAAAAGCAAAGAGGGAGAAAACGAAGAAGAGACAATATGGTTCAAGGGGGGATCGATCTCCCGCAGATCAAACATCAAACACTGGCTGTAAGATTTGCTGCCCATACAACCAAAGCACCCATTCAGACTTTCAGTTCCTGGGTGCTAAGTCTGTTATTTAACTTATTTTCATCAATTATCAGTACTAATTCAGTGTTGGAAGTAATGGGTGCTGCAGCACCCATAGAGCCCCTACGTGGATCCGCCATTGTATTCAGTAGCTCATATACTCCAATGCACTATACTTATTCAGAATCGAGAACAATTGATGGGATGACTTGCAAAGAAGCAAATCACAACCATGATTAGCTTAACTAAACTGAACAAAGCACAATCCCTATTGGTTTTAGATGATATAGCTAAAGATAAATTACATGGACAAAAATGATGAGTAAAGACATACCACAAAGTCACTTGCAAATCCTTGCTGTGTGATCCAAACTTACAAACTGATATGGATCCCCTGCTGATGACGAGTATCAATTTTCCCACTTCCAACGACGACGACCGATGTATATTCCCAAAGATGAAATAAATTTCTAGGTCAATCTGTTTTGTAAACAGAGACCAAGATAGTATCTCCAAAAGGAGATGAATGCCAAAGGAGATTTGCCCTAAAGACAAATAGTTTTTTTGGAGTATGAACTCCAAAATGCCAAAGGAGATTTGCCCCAAGAAATGAACTGAAGTCCACTAGAAGAGTTGTGCAGAAAAGAATGTTCCAACTAATAGTGGTCCCAGTAGAAGTGCCGCTTCAGCTCTTCCTGACAGGTTGAAGAGGAAGTCCACCTTGCCAGATATATGGATCAACTTTTTACCAACGGATGAAGATGAAACCTACAAAGAACCAAAAAACTATGGAACTTCACAATTTGCCAAAGGAGATTTGCCCGGCAGAGCCAATAGAGAGATGCATATGTAACTATAAGAATCTGCTATACTGTCAGGTCTACTTACTGCCAAAGGAAATGTTTTGGACAGTTGAGTCAACCAGAAATAGCTAGGTGTTGGATAAAATGTTCAAAATGCCAAAAAGATATCTTTTCTTGGGCAATGCTCAGTGGAGGAGGCTTCCCAGAAAATGTAAGTTGATGTGAGCCACTGAACTACATTGGGAAATCCTTGAAAGATATGTTGTAGCTTGACCATGGAACCCAACTTTTTTCTGAGTCAAACCAGCCTTACAGGTTTTAAAACTTTCGTGAAACCTGAGAGCAGAATAGCTGCTAATTTAACACAACACAATTGATATGTCGAGCAGCAGGAAGACCAGTTCGGCAGTTTCTTTTGACCAGACAACTACATAGTCAACACTGCAATAGAGATACGGCAACAAATTCTAAGATGACAAGTTCTCAAGAGTCCTATAGGATAAAGAATCAGTAATTCCTTACAACATAGTCAATTTTTGCAATTTTTTTATTGTTAAAGGAAGTATATTGGTTTCAGCAAAAAGTGCTGTAAGAACTAAATTCTGCGAGTTTTTTAACATTATGACTTTCACTTCTTCCGGAAATATTTTTTCCAAAAAAATAACTAATTTTGTGTGGTCAACCGACCAGTGTAGTTAATTGGCAGCATATGGATAGTTCGACAACAAACCAATTTCTAAATGAAACTTGATTTCAAAGATAAAATGAGTGATGACAGAAATTGTATGTACAGTTTTACATTTAAGCTGCTATATGAACCTACAATAAAATCATTTAGAGCTCTACAGTTAATTGCTTACTAGTGCTTTTGTCCACTCACAACATAATTATCTTTAGCTAATTTTAAAACCCAAATACATGACCCTTCAACACCTCAAAATGAATTGAAGACCATATAAGGATCAAAGTTCTCTGGATAAGAGCACTAGTAAAACCAATCACTTCGATGAGCAGGAGAGAAATGCCTCCAAACATCATGGTATTTGAATGATCATCTCACATTTATACTCCCAATGATAAAAGCATTCATTTTTCTTTGTGTGTGAACACTTAGTTTGAGACTTCCCAAAGAGAAGAGATTCATACAGATCGTCTTTTTCTTGGAAAATAGAAATACTTCTTAGAAAGTGATGACATTCACTATATTAGCACAAGATGATACTGGAGTTTTCTTTATAAATTAAATATCTTAAGATGTAAGATCTTAAAAGTGGAAAAGACTCCAATGGTCTATCAGTCATCAATCACTGAATCATCTACGTGTTTGTCCAGAGTCCACCTCTTTGACATTGAGTATCTACTCTAAGTAGTTGCTTGTTCAGCTTTAACTTTGTTCTTCCACAATCTAATTCAATTTATTATTAGCCTAACTTTAATTAGTCTCATACCACACCCTTACCCTTTCTTGGTTCATTCGTCAAAGTTCAATACTTCTGTGCACCCAAATAATGTTAAGTTTTTAATATCGATGATTTTGCTTCCTTGCAATCAGGTGTTAAGCTTTCAAATGTGTTAATCCATGGGAGGTGACTAAAAAAGCTATCATCTTCTGATTCCAGTTCCCATTTTAGAAGTAAGCCGATCTACACATGAACAAAAATCATTGCTCCTAGATACCACGTACATGGCGCATCTAGCCTCAAGAGAGGATGTCACTGGTTTGACAATAGCTGGTACTGCACATATTCATGAACGCCCTCAACCTAAAGACCCTCTATTATTTTTCTTGTTTATCTACTCTGACTATATAGACAATATTCTAGATGTAATTCCATGACCAACGTGTGTGTTAGGAAACCAAGTTAAAGGCTACAGTAAACATCTATCCTGTGACTCCTTTTCCAGTTATATAATGGATGCACATCCCAAAGCATATCAACACTCAAACATAACCTTATCCTTGCATGTCCCTAAGCACTAACTAGAATCATCAGCCATCTAAAGAGGGAAAAACAATGAAATTCTTTTTACAACTTTTTAGAAAATCTACCCTCCAAAAATTTCAGTGAAAAAAATTTGTTAGACAAACTTCTTCAGCTTTGAATCAAAACTCCAAAATAAAATATCCTTTTGAATTGAAGGAGGTTGCAAACATGAAGCCTAAGAATTTCAACAAAATTCACCTTCACATAAAACAAATAAGAAAGATAAGTGTAAGACATATTTTCATCAAAGTAAACAGATACAGATGCTAGATAACTCAAACAACTAAAGGTTAAAAAGCAAACAGCAAAAAAGAGAAAAAAGACAGTAATAAGAGAAAAAAAGATAACAAGATTATAAGCAGAAGTTGAGAAAGTTACCATCTTGTACACTCTTATGCTCATATCGAACCAAAGGCACATCTAACTGAGGAACTCCCACAGAAAAAGCACAAGCTGAATGAAACTGAAGCAACCCCAGAAGAGAGTCTTTAACAAATTCTTTACTTTCTAGCAGTTTCCTGAGATAAATTCTTGCTTTTTCCTTCCAAACAAACAGTGATCACCTCAACAAAAGGTCCAAAACACACACACACCCCCCAAAAAAAGCCAAGAAATAAAGATTAAGGGAATTCAGAGAGGCAAATCACCTCCCTAAATTCCCATAATCCACTCATATTCAAACCGCACAAACATGGCAGCATGAAATGTTGCAAAATCACCAACCCCTTTTCTTTTTTCTTCCCTTAATTATCACCTCTCTTTATTTCTCTTCTACTATGTGTCTGTGTGTGCGTGTGTGTTTTTGTCTGTGTGAATTCTTGAACGTTAAATGGAGATTTTTGAGTAGTGTGCGTACTATTTTTCATAGAAAGAGAGCCAATTATAGATACAGGGTATTAAATAAAACCCCATATATACTTTTTAAGAAGAATATACCGTAGTATCTATGCTTTCTTTGTATATTGTATTCTCTACTCTTTTCTGCCGTATACAAGTTAACAGTCAACATCTCCAATTTACAGAACTACCCTTTATAGCTGTAGTAATCAATTATCACCTTGATCCAACTTGGGTTCGAGAGCATTAATTAATTTATCACTTTTTTCTTTTTCAAAAGATGGTGGTGTTTTAATATATTTTATTTTTTATGTGATGATTCTATTTTGCTGATCTGGCGCCCGGTGACTAATTTCGGCGTAGTGTGAGACCCATTAAAAGAAAAAAAATACTTTGTATAAATAATTTTTTCATTAATCTCGAAAACTTTTAATTAATGGTGGAGGCATTTTATCTATCACAATATACTCTTAGTAGTGTGATGATTCTATAATATGTTAGTGTGTGTGGCGGCCAAAGTACTTTCATAAACCTAAGATATCAATTTTATAACTAGTCCAAGTTTTATTTTTTTTCAAAAAGAAAAAGTTATTGTGGTCAAATTGACATGTTTATTAAACAAATGATGTTCAATTCAATCTCTAATCAGATGTAGTTATCTTGATTACATATCACATTTTTCGAAAAGGCCGAAGAACCTAATTGCTGTGTTTTTTCACACTTAGGAATAAGAATATGAATTTTATAAATTTGAACTTCATGACATTTTTTTTATCTCCTATAGTTGCGGTGATAATTCAAGTAAGAGAGTGACAATCTCAAACTTAGATATTTAACATCTTTGTATACATTATAACTCGATCATGTCAATGCCATTAGATTTATTAGTAACTAATCTTTCATAATAGAAAACCAAAGAATTTTATGAAGCTAATTACTAAGAAGAGATATATGTACATAATTAAAAGAATGCATTTGGTTATGAGATTTTATCCAAATGACATTAGAATTGTCCCACCTGGGTTTAGTTTCTCTAAATCCAGGATCTTCTTCTTTGACACTGTCATTTGAAAAGAACTGAAGTGAAAAAGACCAACTTTTAGGTTTGTCTCTTTTCTATAATTACTACCATTGGCGGAGCCACTTATAGTTGAGGGTGTCAGCTAATATTCCTTTACCATAAAATTATACTATGTTGCTAGATAAATTAAAGATTTTATTTTGTAAATATCTTCTATTATAGATTAAAAACCTCTTGACTTCCGAGCATTTAACTTTTTATATTTTAACATCTCTTAATAATAATCTTATTCCGGCCACTGATTACATCATTCTTCAACTTATTATACTCCATCCACTAAGATCTTGTTGCTAGTTTCAAAATTTTAAATAGACAACAAAGTGGGATTTGTTTTGGTGACAGAGTGGGATCTGTCTTCATATGCTAAGGTTTGACAAATGGCACTATCGTACTAGAAATCAGGCTTTTCGTGATTACTAAAGTCGACGTAAAAACTAAAAAATAGTCACAAAAGTCGCCATTTTTCTTTCTTTTTTTTTCTAAGTTGGAGGACATGCATATTTTATTTCCGAATATTCCTTCAGAACATCGTTAAGTATTCTCTAAGTTTATTTACGAATATTCTGACAAATCTATTTTCATATGGAAACGTGCTACAAATGCAAAATTAGGTTTTCATATGTGCAACGGTGCGACAAATGGCAAGGAAAATCTCTCCATTGAAAGTCTTTTGAAACGCTATAAAAAATTGTTAACAACCATGTTTAATTTTGTTTTCCTTAATTCTAAACGAAATGTCTTGTTGCCTGTTGAAGACAAAAAACAATTCATAAGTTAAGTTTTCATAATCATTAACATGAGAATTCTCCAAAGAATTTTCATAAATGATAATATAATTAAACACGCAACTTTTCCCAATTGTCTTCCATAAACAATTTTTTTTAAAATTTATTGTAGATCTCATTTTTTTTAAAAATAAACCAAAATCAGAAGTAAACCCAATAGCCACCTGAGAAGTTACTGTGTCAATATGGCAATTTATAATACACGCCGATTGATAAACTTTGAGTCATATTTATTTTGGTATTGAATTGAATTGACTTAAGTTGATATACTAGTAAGATGCAAGGAGAAAAAGCATTTTTATTTTCGTGTTTCTTTCTTTTGCAAAAATTTATTTACTTTAGTAGTAATAGCTAAAACTAGACTTTTGTTCGTGAATATTCTCCTAGAGTATCATCTATATGTCAACTCAGTGAGCAAAAGGTATTTGGGTGGACAACTTTTTCAATGGAAATGTGGGCTTTTCATAATTATGGCTATGACATGTTAATGTTATGTTAGTTAAATTCCACACAATACTATTCCAGTATATATGTTTTGACAAAAAATTAAACTTGATGCATCAGAAAAGAGAACCACTTCTCTAAACAAGCAAACAGTTCAAAGAGTTAGAATGGAGACACTAACAGTATAGTTTCATGTGTTTTACCCTGTCATAACTCGTGTAAAACAAAATCAATTCAGTTAATTAACTATATATAGATAAACGTGTAACATACCTAAAAGTTATAGATTGTGGTTCAATACCTAGAAAGGAATGCACAGTGCATAGGTGATTGTTGTATGTATATCCGTTGCTAATAATTTATCGCTAAATTGCTCGTAGTTAATAAAGTTTTTTGATAATCTATCGTTAATCCGTTGCTAAGTATGATCAGTGACACAAATTTTTCTGTTTAGCTACAGAATTTGTTCGTCACTAATTTCTATTTTTTTAGTAATGGTTAAATCTCATTAATATAAAAGTTGTTAGTATAATGGAAAATAGAGTTCAAATAGTAATTTAATTCATGGGCTTAACTCTCAGTCAATCCAGCTTATATGGTCTTATCAACCAATGGAAAATCAGCTCTAACTGCTCCATTCAACACTACCAAGAGACATTGTTCCAAAAAGCGATCACCTTTTGTCTAGTCATAATTTGGTTAAATTAATCACACTTTTCTTAGTAAAGTTTGGTGATGAGAGCTACTGATTATTCAGTGTTTGGATTACAATCTTTTCCACCACACTTGATCAATACTAAAAACAAGAGAAGTTTACTAAATTTAGGAACTAAAAAGCGTCCTAGTTTTTTCGCTCAAGCTTCTAACTACTAGTATGTCAATGTCAAAGAAATCTTCCAAGAATATTCTTTTACTTAACTTTTGTTTGTGTTTACCCGTAAAACGATATCATTGAATTTATATGTAGTTTATACACAAGTAAATTAATTTGATCCAAAAATAATAGATGAATTAGACAGAAATATAAGACTTAGCCTTAAAATCGAAATAGACGACGGATATCTTGGTTTCGGGCGTAGAGCTACCGGGAGCAATAAGAACAATACAAATAAGCAAAAAAGTAAAATATTATTGAGCTTTTGATAGAATATAGTATATACTTGTCAAAAAATTCGTGTCCTTTACAATGATAGTAGAACTCACTATTTATAGCCGCACCTGGGGAACAAGGTCCTAGGATTAAGCTCCTCTTTAATAACAATTATGAAGACAATTAAAGGATGTGTAATGGTGGGCAATGAATGTCATATTCTCTGTAACGGATCATGCACTTAATGTTGTAGAATATTCTTCATTGAATGTTACCATGTGACGGTATTAATTTTGTTGTTATGAGTATCATTCTCTCCGGTGACAAGCGAGATCATTGCCTTCGGGTTTAGCTATCTTCTGCCTTCGGTTCCACGGGTCGCTTTCTTATGCGATCAATAAATATGAACATATTTTTTCCTATAAAGATAGTCCCCCTGCTTTCTGGTGGCATAATTTTGTGTCACCGAAAAGTTGGTAAAAATACCTTTTTGGCGGAAAATTCTCTGATCCCTTCTAAAAAGTTTCTGACGGTTGATTAGACGCACATCTCTCCGTATTTAATGCCCCGAACACGTGTCATCCTATGATTTTTTTTAAGGCAAATTCCACTAGGCGTTGCGCCTAGGGTTAATTTTCATATATATATATATATATATATATAAAGTAAAGTACAACAAAGGAGGGGGACATAAACCTTACCTCCAAAACTATAACAGATATACACTTGGTCATCCAAGCATGACGACCAAGCGAATCCTGAAATTTGATGAGTTAGACCTATAATGATGTACCAATTGCCTATTCTTAAGTGATAGACAATTGTGTATACAAAAACAATGTGAAATAAGTCTAGGTCAACTATACAAAAATGCACAAATGATCCTAAATCAACTAAACAGATGAGTAGGAAGGCCATCTTCCATATACAACAAGACCTACATCTAGAGTAAATGTAGATTTTTCCTATGGAGTATGGCAAAAACAATCGAGTGTGATAGAAACTATCTTCAACTTGGCTCTGACATTGAGGCCAAAGAAAGCCAAGTTGAAGATAGCTATCAAAATGACCCATATAACTAGGCAGAACTACTGGTGTTGTATGATGTTTTCAACAGAAGAGAATGAGCAGATTCCTGCTTTTTTCATCCAGAATACTTTGTAGCAGGCAAGTTTAACTGGTGACCTGGAGTAGGGACACGCAGCATCCTTCCTGAATGAGCTACTGCATTCTGTAAACTTCTGCTTCTATGAGCTGATAGAGTGCAGGATAACTAGGTTTGGGCCCCTAGGTGTGTCCCGCTGAGTGCCTGCAGAGGAATCAGGTTTGTCTGGTGTCTGAAAGTATCCATTTGAGCAGGAACTTTCCGCTGATGAGTTGAAAAATAAGGTGTTGGATGTTAGTGATTAGGTGTTAAGGTCCTGGTTTGTGTAGTAGTGTCCTTCTGAGAGCTGCATATTGGTGTAACAAGAGGATTCTCTGAAGGATCCTGCCAGAAATATTTGTCTGTTGTGACAAATTTGCAGAATCCTTGTGACAGACCCAAGGTGATTGGTACACTTACAAGAGATTGAACATCTAGGATGTTAATAACACACTTTGCAAGTGCATCAATAATTTTGAATCTGTCTCTTATACTTGCAAAAAGCA